GTGCAGCTGTGGTTGGGACAATTATTACATTAACTGATGGACTTGTAAATAAATAGTTTATAAATAAGGTAGAAATAAGTTCCTCACGCTGATAACTAATAACTAATCTCTCTGAGGACACGGTGCTAGTGCACTCTCCTACAGCAGCTTGACACGACTCAATAAATGCTATGCAACATTTTATGAACATCAATTTGCATGTATTTGTTATAAATGCCACAGTATAATTCTTGCTGTCAGTATTTGCAAGGTATTGGTATTTGGGTCTGTGCTGGTTAGACTTAAATGAGTTAAACCAAGGTCTATAGCCCTTGGGTCATAAACTGAGCTATAAGTATATTGGTCTTTTTATACTGGGAATCAGGAGTTATTTTAGTGATCATCTTGTTTGTTGTTTATTTTTGCCCTGATTGTGCCCTGAGCAGTTTTATGACTGAATAAAAATAAAAATCTACATAAATTGAAACATCGTCTTAAATAATCGAGATCTCATTTTCAGTCACAATAATTGTGATTATTGTTTTTGCCATAATCGAGCAGCCCTACTTTAGCATATCCGGTCACATAATGATGACGTCATATTCAGTGGTCGTTGTGCATCATTTCAGGCCTCGTGGTCAACTGTCTGAACCGCTGAACAGAAGTGCCTGGCTTATTTTCTAAGTAAAATAAATATGTGCAATACGTTGTCAACATCAGTGAGTCTCTAAGTCTATTCTTTTTGTATGTTATATATGTTAAAATACGTGTAAATAGGTCGCTGATTAACACTTGCAATTTAGTGTTGTGATGGTTTTAAAAAAATTCTGAAGGTAGTAAAAAAAAGTATTAAAAAGTAGTAAATTTTACTTAACGATTGCTGTATATACCCTGCAGATGATGCAGGACCCTATGATGGACAAGTTTTAAAAGATGTGCAGCATTTTAGTGATGGTAGACAAAACATCAGTTTCTAGATGGAGAAAAACAAATAACATAAGAATGATTTCTTCTTCTACCATACTGGAAATGTTCCTCTGTAGCCGCTTCCTTACTGCAGTACCAAAGGTGGTTCACTGTGTATTTTGTCCATTCCAGGACAGCACCATTTACTTTTTCATGCCAGCCTGTGAAAATTAAAAATTAAAAACAGTCAGACTGCTCCATGTACCAGGAATCTGTTATAGAAAAATGCAGCATTACAACTCTCTAATGTTTAAAAGCAACATACTCGTCGTATATTTTTCCCCAAATTCTTGGCAGCAGGCCAGATGTCAGGGGAATGCTGGACGTTTTTGTATTTCCCTCAATCTGGATCTATAACATAGTTCAGTGTTTAGAAATGAATAAACATATGACAGAAACTTTAGGAGTCCGTTTCTCTTACTAAGCAATGCCGTGATTTGTGGGTGAGCATCAGTGACCACTGAGGTCGCTCATGGAGGAGGACATCCATGGTTCTTGTGAAGCAATCCTTCTCCATAAGTACAGACTTTCTGTCTGTTTCCCGCTTGTCAACAGTGACGATATGCACAACGTCTCTGGATTCTTGCTCTGTCCTTGTGCTGAGTGGCCTACACACAAACAAAACAGTTGAGATGTCACTTTATTAAATACATCCATCACAGTCTTCCATGCATCCATTACCTGGGGAGTCCATTCTTCCAGCTCCTGGTGCAGACAAAATAAAAATTCATTATATTACTAAAAGGCTTAAACACTCACGGGACTACTCAAAATGACTAACATTGAAATACGTATTACATAAACTCTCAGCTGGAACAACCACTTTGTCCTTTTTGTTCTAAGTGGTTCATGACCTCTGCCCTAGTGCCCTCCCAAAACTTTTTAACGGGTTTAATGCAAGATTTATCCTGCATTATGAAACAAGTGCTTTGTGCCACCTTTCCCATAATCATGAAAGGGAACAGGAGGGCTATTTTGCGGTAATTATTCCCCGACAACAGCGTTTGTTGCCAACATAAAGTGACCTCCCTGCATCCCAAACTTTAACAATGGCTGGGAATTCCATCTCCTCACGATGTGTACGAAAGGGAAAGTCTACTACAAGAACACACAACATACAACTTTGACAAAAAAGAAACTGAATATAAGCTATGCATCCGGAAAACTTTTTGCAGTACAATTAGTGAAACATAAGTGTAGTTTCTCGTCATTCATTCAATATAAAAATAATTAAAAATGGTCTCCTACTCATTCCAGCAAGACTCCTACGAGGTTTCAAAGTTACTTGAAACGGGGCTCTTCCTGGACCTGCTGTTCCAGTGACTGGGTCACTGTACTTACACATCCGGATAGGCAACTCTGGGTATGATGCAAGCTGCAGCAGAATGTCATTGCAGACAATGCAGGCACTTTTCAACACCGAGTCTTTTTGACTTGGGCTGTTTCGGTGTGGTTTGGATCTCCTCATCCAGTTCATTGGAAGTTGCTTTATCAATAGCAGCTTCATCTAAGCTGATGTTGTGTAGTTGTTGAATGCATTCTTTTGTTTGTGCAAGGCATTCACAAAAAAATGACAGATACATTCAATAAGAGCATATTATGGGAAAATGAATGTATTTTCTGAAATGCGCTGAATTGCAGGGACACACCGTAGACAAAGGTGTGGAAAGAAATCTTCATCAGAGCTGTCCCCATCATCTTCTGGGCTATGTTCACCTGGATCCTAACAGCATCCATCGATCTCAACACTATTAATGAAAAATATAATCGTTAGAAAGAAAAACTATAACAATATAACGTCAAGATAGAGAATTAAAGGAGAGATAAAAACGTACATGCTGTTCCTCAAATTATTGAGCTCCTCTTCATCCAAACAGTCTTGATGCTCTTCTTGAGCAGATGCACACAAATTAGCTCCTCGCCAACAGAACAGTGATAGGGGGTAGTGATGTGACGTTCACGAACAAATCAAATCTTTTGAACGGGTTTTCAAAGTGAACGATGAGAGCCGAGTCCCGGTAGAGAGCTGTTTATCTTGCCTTGTGGTAACAAACCAACCCGGAAGTCGGTTAAGCGCCCCCGCTCAAACCCCACCCGCCACTGTGACGGATGTAGGAGGAAGGCTCTCAACACCGTGTGACCTCATGGACACCGGAAGAACATCAGAACACCCCACCATACACAAAATGTCAGTAATCAGAACATTATATCACCGAGCAAACATGGTAACAGAAGAAAGAGACCGCGGTGGTTGACTGTGGCGGCCCGGGCGCTCCTAGGGGTGTGCTGAGGAGGTGGTGGGGGTTTCTGCCCTCCCTCCCTGGGCGCCCTGAGTTAGTGCCTTGGCTGCTGCCATCATTTAACTACTGCCGAGGCAGATGCCTCACCTGATGGTGTTTCATTCATGACCTAAAGGTGGGCATACACTGTGCGACTTTTTCACTTGTAGCATTGATTGATTGATTGATTGATTGATTGATTGATTGATTGATTGATTGGTTGATTGAGTTTTGAACGGCTCTTTGAGGTAAACAATCAACTAATGAACGGCTCAGATGAAAGAGCCATAAAATCTGGTCACCCTAAACACAGGTGTCACCAACACTGGTCCTCGAGAGCTACTGTCTTACACTTTCTAAACATCTCTGCTCCAAAACAGCTGAATCAAATGATTGAAATTATTTTTCAGCTGCGATCAATGTTAACAAAGATCTCATTCCATTTAGTCAGCTGTGTTGGAACTGGGATGTCTCTAAAGCATGCAGTAGCTGTCGAGGACCGGTGTGGATGAGACCTGGTCTATCAGAACATTTGCAAAATGAAATCAGCCAAAAAAAAATACAAGACTAAGAAAATGTTTAAACATCATCGCACACATTCACTACAAGTTAGCGGGACAATTTAGAGTAACAACCTCACAGCTAAATCTGTAGTTAGTTGGGGAAGGTTGGGGTAATTGGAGAAAAACTGTGCTTACACAAAAAGAATGTGTAATTGCCACTTAGAAAACAACTCCCAACGCTAGAACCAGCCTACATGCGGCACCTTTGGGTGATCTTTTTAGAAAAAAACAAATGTAAATATATAAATCACTAGCTTGAAAATAAAAAGCGAAAACCATGTTTGACTTACGTACTGCAACACAGCGTGTACGCTGGGGTTTGCATTTCGATACGACAGACATGTTGGCATCACATTAGCCTCTAGATTGCTAACAATGAGATTGAGTCAGTAGTGTTCAGACATGGAAAAAAAAAGAAAAAGAAAGTTTTCCACCTCCACACATTGAATAAATAATTTTATCAGTACCGTATAACAACTTAATGCCTGATCAAATACAATAACCCCGGTGAAATCATATATTACTTACCTATCCATTAGCAGCACGGCTAGGTTAGAGTCTGTGGTACATGCCGTTCTTTCAAGAAGAGCTCTCCAGTGAGGAAAAGCCAACCCAATATTAAATCTGGTCTCTCCTTTTGCTCTGTTGCATTCTCTTTTTCTTTTCCTACATTCCTCTGATAAGGGTTTTCTAGCTCTTTGGTGGATCTGCCATTGCTAAAGTCTCTAGATCGCTTGTCTATGTGATACTGCCGTAAAGCAACACGCAGTCAGTACGGGTCCAATGAACCAAGGCCCCCTATGAAAAGAAAGTAGTCAGTAATCTGGGGATAAAAATTTATATGGCAATACACACAAATCAACATGGTTGTGAGGTCCTGTTTTTTTTATCTGCGACAGTTGTCCCATGACCAAGCCTTTGCTGTCCAGAGCTCATCTGGATTCTGTGCTGCATGCTTTTGTCCTGTACCGACTGGACTACTGTAATGATTTGTATGCTGGTCTGAGTCAGGGCACAGTTGCACGGCTCCAACGTGTACAAAACTCAGCTTCTAGGTTTTTGACAGGTACTAGATGCCAGGATCACGTCACTCCATTGTTAGCTGCTCTGCAGGGCTGTGCAGAGACCTTTGAAGTGGCGGGTGCTCAAATTTAAAAAGGGGTACACAGAATAATATTTTCTAACACCATGACATAACCACAGTATACCCGGCTGAATAACCAATCATATTTATTAGAAATTCAGAATGGAAGCAAATCATTATATACACCATAAGGACAATGTCAAGCAAAAGTAACTTGTTTTGGTAAATGGTCGGTATTTGTATAATGCCTTCTTAGGGTTCTACAACCCCCCAAGGCACTTTACAACACAGTCAGTCATTCACACACACACATTAACACACTGATGGTGATGAGCTATGATGTAGCCACAGCTGCTCTGGAGCGCACTGACAGAGGTGAAGCTGCTGAGCACAGGCGCCACCGGTCCCTCCGACCACCACCAGCAGGCAAAGCAGGTTAAGTGCCTTGCCCAAGGACACAACAGCATCAATCTCTGATTGAAGTCAGGATCAAACCTGCAACCTTCCGATTACTGGACAACCTGCTCCACCTCCTGATCTGTTGCTGTCCTGTTTTACCTGATGATGGGGTACAGTGTAGCTGTTGCAGGGTCGCTCCTCTTGCTGCTGCTGATGATGCTGGAGGGCAAGGCTGTGTTGATCTCAGACTGTAGGCAGTAAAACCAACAGAGGAGAAATGTTAGTCAATTACAAAATTAATGTAAGATCATAAAAAAATGGCTAAAATTGGTGAAAACTCTTAGAACTGTAAGACAGAAATATCTGAGACAACACCTGTGGTAAATAAATGGAAATCTAAACATTAGTGGATAATAGAGGAGTTCATGTCAGAGATAAGAATGTGTGTGTGTGTGTGTGTGTGTGTGTGTGTGTGTGTGTGTGTGTGTGTGTGTGTGTGTGTGTGTGTGTGTGTGTGTGTGTGTGTGTGTGTGTGGGTGTGTGTGTGTGTGTGTGTGTGTGTTCAATCTCCTCATGTGACCTATCACTCTCCACCTGCTGTCCATCTGAGAGCAAGGCAACATTAGCTATTGTATGAATGAATGATGTAGTTATTCACATTTAACAGGTCTTGCACCTAATCCATGATCCATGATGAGTTGTGTATATTATTGTTGCTGTGATGCAGCTTACCTGTACTCTTTTTTTTATCCAGCTGGTGAGGGACCCACCGCCTTTAGCTGCCTCACATAGCTCTTTCTGTCGCTGCTTCCGCCTCCTGTCCTTACGAAGCATGTCTGTACAATGATATATCATAATTAATTTACAAATATGTTTTCATGCATATAAAACTCATGCACACACATACTGGGACATTTCATTCCTTTTCCAGAAAACTAACTGTATATAATTTGCTTCATGATGCTGATCCAGAATATTTCCATAATATTTTAATCATAGTGCTTTAGTAATTATAATAAAAATAAAGAATAAAACAATGTTTATGCTTTCATTCAGTTTTACTATCTACTTTGAGCAAAACAGAGAACTGTACAGATAAAATAATTTTGCTGTGAAAACAGTAGTTTTTTATGTACATCTTTAAAACATATTGTTTTTAATACAATGCATTCAGAAAGAGAGCAAATATAAACTCCAACATTTTGAGAATATGCATAGTATTAGTGAACTATAAACCCACCAGAAGGGCTGAGAAACCTTAAAATCTAAACAAAACTATGTTCCCTACAACGCTGGACCGAATTTACAGACAAGGACTGAATATTTAGTAACACAGAACTTGTGATGGATGTTACCTTTAGTATTTTTCTTATTTCCTTTCACAAAAGGTGGCAAAATTTTAAATTTGTTCAAGTTTTATCAGTCTGCGAACCAGGAAGTGATTCTGTAAACAGGAAGCAGGGCTGTGTGAGACCCCAGTCACGTGACACGCAGCAGCGATAGGAATGCAACTTTGCGGTACCTAGTTAACAACAACGACATTTTATTGGCAAATTCCCAATATTTAAGATTGAAAAAATATTTTCGTACAAGTACTTATGTACAGAATGTTTCTGGTTAATCCTAAAGTTACTGAGGCTCAGAATCGGTACCCAGCCACACACACACACCCAGCTAGTAATATATCACACACACACCTAGTGCCACAAAACAACGTAATAATGTACAAAATAATCTAATAACTGTCTATAGTAGTGTGCATCCTACTTACCGGTGTTAGTCCGTTTCTCCCAATCAGTATGTATGTCCTAAAAGCTCTGCACCACTCGCTCGGCCATGAAGGAAATGTGGGTCCTCGCAGCTTGTTGTGACCGGCTGTGCGCTCTGGCGTGAGGAAGAGATGGTATGGTCACGTGACTCACGCCAGCTATATAACATTATTAAACAGAAATTTTATTAATTATTATTTTCGTTATTGTTGAGGGGCACAAACAGAAAATTCTTAAAAAGAAATGTAAAAAAATTTAAAAAATAAATAAATATAAAAAAATCATTAAACCTCAAAAAGGGCACATGGGACAAAAGGGGCAGGGTCTCAAGCACCCCCCCCACCCCACCCCTGCACGTGCCTGCTGCTCTGCACAAGCTCCCGGTGCAATACTGCACTAAATTTAAGATCCAGGTTTTTGTATAAAAGGCATTTAAGGCTATTATTTAAGACTATTCCCCTGTACAGGCATCTGACTCTGTGTTTAATAGTTTTCTCCAATTTTTTATTGACAAAGTGGCGTTGCTGCAAGACCCCTTGCCTAAAGTTAATGTGCTAAGCACCTCTACGTATTTTGAGGGATGACTGTTTCTTTTCATCCAGTTTCACCAGCTGACTTAGCTAGTTTGATCAAAGGCACAAAACCTAGCGGGTCACCAGAAGATATTCTGCCCCCGCATTTCCTAAAGGAGGTTTTTTAGCAGTTGTACCACTGAATTTGCACAAAATCAATTGCAGTTTGGCTTCTGGTTTTGTACCGATGGATAAAAAAAAACTGTTATTCACCTTCTTTTAAAGAAACCTAGTATGGATACTTCATTGCCAGCAAATTACAGGCTGATTTCTAAGCTCCCTTTTTTGAGTAAGGTGATTGAAAAATGTGTCTACATTCAGCTAATGGATGTTTTTTTAATGAATTGAATATTTTAGAGACACTCCAGTCCGTTTTAAAATGTTACACAGTAATGAAACTGCCCTTATCAAGATTTTCAATTATATTCTTTTACCAACAGACGGCGGCAGTCCAGTGCTGCTGATCCTGTTGGATCTCACAGTAGCGTTTGATAGAGTAGATCATGAAGTGTTGCTCCATTGTCTTGAACATTATGGGGGAATTTCTTGACAATCCCTGAACTTGTTTAGATCTTATCTATCTGGGAAAAATGTCTCGGGCCTGCAGACCATCAGCACCGGTTCCCCTCAGTGTTGTGTTCTCTCCCCTCTGCTCCTCTCCCTGTAAACCAACGGCTGCAATTCCAACCACAACTCTGTCAGGCTTATCAAGTTTGCAGAAGTACTTCTTGCGGCAGACCGCGGGTCTAAAATTGTATGGTGCAGTAAACAGATGCAGGAATTTCTTGATATTCCCTGAACTTGTTTAGATCTTATCTACATGACAGGATTTGTGTGAGGACAGGTGGTTTTTTATCCGGCTTCTCACATTTGTCTTGGGGGTACCGCAGGGTTCAATACTGAGTCCCCTGTTGTTTTCAAATTACATTCTGCCATTAAGTTTTGATTTACTATTTAGTGTCCCATTTTCAAAATGGAATGATACGAAGACAGTCACTTAAGAGAAAATTCCTTGGAAACATACAGACCAACCAAAAATATTTAGCAAAGATCGACCACACTGCCACAAAGCCTCGTTCTGGACCAATAGAAGAAGTCAACAATGAAATACGGAGACTATGTAGAATACTGATGGACGTTTCAGATGGGTAATGTAAAAGCTATTATACGTTTTTATAGCCTGTTGTATGAACAATATAATAAAAATTGATTTAACATCATGCCTGAAGAGCTTAATTATATTGTAAAAATGTGATAATGTTGGATAAGAATTGGACTTCATCCCATTTAATAGATTAGTCTCCCAATTTGGAATAGATAATAGCTTTTTAGAATATCACCAAATTAAATCTGTAGTCAAACAAAAATTTAAGCTCAATAAAATAGAATTACAAACACCACCAAGGGTATTAGACTTCTATTGTCAGCGCGTGGCGGTGAATGAAGCGGATGCAAGGATCCATATGCGGGTGAGGGAAGCAGGTAAGCAGGCAGTTTTAATAGAGAACACGCTAACATAGAAACAATGATCCAACAAGAGGCACAGAACTGAAGGGGTTTAAATACAAGAGGGCTGGGAGCTTGGGTGATTAGGAGACGAGAGGCAGGTGGGAGCAATTAACATGGACACAGGACTGAACAAAATGGGGAGACAGGACAGGGTGTGACATCTATAATCTCAAACCCCCCAAACTACTGTCTAAAGTATATAAGACACTGTCCAAAATAGACGATAGAATAGTAATCCCTATTGAAAAATGGGAGGTGGATCTATCAGTCAGCTTTGACCAGAACTTCTGGTTCCAAACTTGTTTAAAAACTTTTAAAATGATCAGACACCCCAATTTACAATTAATTCAGTACAAAATTCTACACAGAGTACACTATACAGGTCATCGGATGTTCAAGATGGGGTTTGTGTCGTCTGACACCTGTACACACTGCACAAACAACATTCCTGACAATTACGTTCATGCACTGTGGTCCTGTCCACCTGTCCAGGAATTTTGGGGTAGAGTGTGTGAGGATCTGTCAAAATGTCTGAAATGTCATATCCCAACATCCCCCTCTCTTTGTTTACTGGGAAAACTGGACGATGTCCCGATTGAAACATCTGTGGTTCACGTGGTTCTGACTGCCATATGCATCGCTAAGAAAACTATCCTCTTGAATTGGAAAAGTAGAAAAACTCTCTGCATTAACCAGTATAGAAATCTTTTGTTAGATCATATTACACTTGATATAGCCTCTGCTTCCACTTCAAATCAATCTCTTTGGGCTCCTTTGATCGATTCCATCACATAGCGATGATAGGGGACCGTTGATGTTGTCCTGCGGGATGATGTGTGTGTGTGTGTGTGTGTATGTGGGGGGGGGGGGGGGGTCCTGAGTTTGGAGTATCCGGATGTTCCCTGGAGGTGGGTTCACTGAGGGTCTCTGGGACTGGGGGGCCGTTGCCCCCCTCTGGAGGTGCTTGGGTTGCCTCGGGGTATGGACTACTGGCGGTTGTGAGTGGGGCCCCTTGGAGGTCTTGGCGGTGGCCATGGGTCACTGCCTGGCAGCTGCATTGCCCCTGGGCGAGTCTGGGTGGAGGCCTGGGGGCTCGGGGTGTAGGGGTGGCCGGCCCTGTGGGGGGATCTGGGTGGGGCCTTGGGGGTCGGGTCCTGGCATGTATGCTGCCGGGAAGAAGGCAGGAACATGCAGCAGTGCCTGGCCCGGGTTCAGTGGCCTCGGGTAGACCTTGGCTCCCCTGCTGTCCCATCACAGGGGAGGGGGAGGTCCAGGAGGGGGAGGACCCAACCTTTCCTGGATGTCCTATGTCTTATATATTCTGGACGTTGTGCAAATGCAGGGATGGGAGTAGATATTCTGCTGGGGTGGGGCTGGGGTTGGTGCCCTCAGACTCCTTGAGGCTCTGTAATGCTGCTGCTTTGGGCCCTGGCAGGATGGACTGGGGTCTCCATGCCCTGGGTGGCATTTTGACAACAGAGGTGCCTATTGGGGCCAGTAGGGGAGCTGGCTCCCTGGAGGGCTAAGCCCAACCAGCCATTCCTCCCCATCCCCGCATATTTCTCTCCTCCTGCTCCCTCACATCATCACACAAACATGCACATAAGACCTTGGGGGGTGGACAAGTCAGGGAGTGCAGGTATGGACCCCATTTCCGCATTCCTGTGGCAACCTGCCCCCCAGTTTTATTTGCACCTTACACACTTCCACCGACGACATTCCACGCAAACACACACTTAAGCCTGGTTCATGCTTCTCCGTCAACTCCGCAAAGGACAGACACGCACGGATTGACGGAAGCGTTTTGCTCTCATACTTCTCCGTCTCCTGGAGAGTGTTGCAAAGCAATTGCCCGGCAGGACAACAGAAGGCGCAGCGCTGTTCTGTGGTATCTTGCCATGTATCGGTCCAAGATAGTGTGTTTATATTGTGTTTTTTGTGTATATAGGAGACCCAAAAGGATGAATGTGTAAAAATGAATAGGTCCAGATACTTCAGGAAAATACTAAAACGGTTCGGCATGGCAGAGTGTAAAGCTAGAGCTACACCCAGTGAGATAAAATGTGACTTGTCACCAGAGGGCAACAGAACTGATCAAAGAAATTACAGAGAAATGTTGGGCAGCCTCATCTATATCATGACCTGTACTAGACCAGACATTAGTTGGACTGTAAGTAAACTGTCTCAGTACATGTCAGATCCCAGAGAAAAACACATGACTGCTTTGAAGCATGTGTACAGTTACTTACAGGGGACCATGGACTATGAACTGTGTTACAACCAATGTTCATCAGATTTGGAACTGGTTGGATACTCTGATGCGGACTGGCCAAATGATGTTGAGGACAGGAAGAGCACTACAGGCTATTGTTTCGGCCTCAGTCAAGAAAGTGCCATAATTTCATGGAAAACAAACAACAAACAGTGGCACTGTCGACATGTGAAGCGGAGTTTGTGGCCTTAGCAGCTACTGTTCAGGAAGCGCTCCATTTGACACAACTGTAAAGGACATTGGCTGCAGTTCAAAACATGCAGCAAAAGTCTTTGAAAACAACCAAGGGACTATATAGCCCTTTTCAGACAGACATTCTGGAACATTTACGGACAATTCAATCCGGTTTTTTAACCGGAACTGTGCTTTCAGACACACCACTTTTGTACCGGAACTTGTCCTTTCGGCTGCGTTCACACAGCAGGGAAAAGTTCCAGATGTCTGACGGCGGCGGGGGTGTGGTGGTGGTGGTGGTGGGGGGGGGGGGGGGGGGGGGGGGGGGGGGGATCAGACTCATGTTAAGAAGAAGAAGAAAATATCATTTCTATAGCGCCTCTCAAGATAAAAATCACGAGGCGATTAAGCATAATTCTGCGCACACGAAGACGCATAAGAGACCTGGATGATGAAGCTCAATGGTTAAAGGAATCACTGAAGCGGTGTGAAGCGCTCCGTCGCGCGTCTAGACGGTACCGTAGGAGGTGATCTGCCGTGGTTCGCCGCATGCTACAGCAGTGGGGCTATATAGGTGCGCA